TAGATTTGACTTTAAAAAATCAATGACTGAATTTCAGACTGTATTTATCTGAGTTTTAAAATAAAATAATAATGATTATAATAATTTGAATATACATTCAGGAGATCCTAAGTATTTATTTTTTATTAATAAATGTAAAAATATTACATGAAGTTCCGGTTATAGACACTTATAGGTTTCGGTGGTGATCAGATGATATTTAGGATGTAATACAAAGGACCGAGAATATTAATTTTGTTTTTTACTAAAAATCGAATTTAAATTAATTAAAAAAGATAAACAAGTATTACTTGGGATCACATGATTTTTAGGACCGAAAACATTAGTTTTGTCTTTTTTTACGTTCCAGACCCGACAATTATTAGCCGAACATTACATTTTTTGCTGTGTATCAAATTATCAACTCTGTTCGATTATACTGGGTTATTTATACCTATTTCTCTGTTTTTGGGACCACCAAGGATTTTCTAGCCATTTCAGGATTAAAATATCGAAAAATTATTAAATAAAAAATATTCCTATTGTCCAGATTCCCTTCACCGTGGGTTGTGTTGTGATGCTCAGCTTTCATTTGTGGTCTATAGATCGACTCGAAAATAACACAAAAAATTAAGTTTTCGGTCCACTTCATTCCAAAACTAGTATCTGATCATCACCGAAAATTGTCCTTGATCATAACTGGAACCTCATGGAACATTTCAAAGCGATCAGCGCTATAGTTCCGCTCTCTAGAGTGATCATGGTTTACTAAATAATATACGAATACGGAGATACCTGTAAATATTTAGATGTAACTCCCACATCCCAGCACATACAACAATATAATTGGTATTAATTTAAAGGTCAACCACTTTTCTTGGATATATTATCAACTTCTCGGGTCTATGTCCTTCAGGGGTAAATATATACGCTATAGAATACAAATTTTGTAATTTTTCACACAAAAGTCGGGGTTCATTTGACCCGCTAAATATTGCGGCCTCTGGAGCGACCAGAAAAACCGACAAAATTTAGTATTTGGTCCATTTCATCCCCTAAATATTAACCGATCTTTCCCCAAAACAATAGGGGTCTTCATTGGCCAGAACCCATCTTACATGCAAGATTTCGTGAAGATTGGTCCATAACTGTGGCCTGCATCGTGTTTACAAATTATAATGGACAGTCGGACAGACGGACGGACACACATGTCTAGATCGACTCAGCTAGTCGAGATGTGACGATCGGTATACTTAAAGGTGGGTCTAGGACCAATATTTCGCGGTGTTACAAACTTTTGGGGCTTCACAAAGCTATAATACCCTGACAACATAGTTGTGTAGGGTATAAACATAATTTTTTAGACTCCTCCTATAAAAATTTAAAATATGCCATATTTATTCCAAAAATATATATTTATATAAACTCCCGCTTTTTTCAAAGAAGAACAGAATAATATTAAGAGGGGAAAACCAAATAAAAAAGTCCAAAAAATAAATGCAAAGCAGTATTCCATTATCTATACTCAATTTTATATGCCATTCTATGCTTACTTCTCAATGTCGCTTATTACTGAAGGAAAATATGATGTTACCCTCCAATAAACCGTAAAAATTTATATAAAAACTATCGTACAGAGGGTTTTTAATTTCTAAACGCATTCCCTAACAATTCCACAAAAAAATTCCATAGCAAAAACTTGAACATTATTCAATTTTTTGACGTTTTTGCAGGCATTTCTTATCGTTTTAAAATGCCTTCCCACTTCAATTACAAATAATCGAAAGAAAATTTGAGTCACATCTGTCCAGCCGTTTTATACCATATGTATATAAATTTTCATTTTTTTTTTTTAAATCTTGAAATTTATATTTTTAAATTTTTCAATAATCCTTAAAATTTTTTATTAAATTCTAAACTTTTTGAAATTCCTAAAATGTAATTTTATTATTATTGAAATATAAATATGTATCCAAATAGGATGTAATAGGCAAAAAACGAGTATATTAGAATACTAAGCTTTAAATTTGGAGGTGATGGTCAATTTTACCCCTTCGCTTATATATTTCACGATATTTCATAAAGTCTGGGAAATAAAATTCCTCCTCTTCAATTAGATAAATAAAGTATGTGTGTAAATGCATAAGGATTCCTATGGATGATTATTTTGAAGTTTTTTTTTTAACATATTAAAGTAAATTTCGATAGAAAATCAGAAACTGTTCAAATCAGAATTGTTAAAATTTTAATTCTACAATTGATGTTCTTAGATGCTCTAGAAACAACTATTTCAAAATATACAATATTTCCAATAAATGAAGTTTTTTCTAACTCTTAAAAAAATACAGTTTGTCCCGATATAATTTAAAAATTCCCCATCTATTATTCTACTTTGTAGGAAAATTAAATATATTAAAATACTAATCAATTTACTAGATTGTATTTTTACAATGATGATATAATAACAGCATTTAACTAAAACGTAGTTCACAAAATTATAATCAACTAAACTAAACGATTAGTTTTTTTTTAATTTTTAATACATAGTAGTAGTTAATTCTCAAAAAACAATTGCCATTAGATTGTCGCCTTAGATCGATTTTTATAGATGAACAACTAACTAACTGTATGGCATCGAAGAAAAAAAAAACAAGTTTGTCAGTTTTTTTTTTTATGGCATTTTTAATAATAAATAATTTGTGGGGTAAAAAAAAAAACTAGAGAAAAAACATTGAACAACAACGACGAACTAAATTAACATAAGTAAATAACTGTAACTAAGACGAAGTATAAGAAAATGAAAAAAAAAACTACACAGATAGTGAATAAACTTGTCAATAAATATGAGGTCCAGTACGGTGTTAATAAAAAACTACAAACAAACAGGAACAACAAAAATCAAAAGTCGACAAAAAAACGAAACTAAAACTCCGCCCCTTTAAAATAAAAAAATAAAGAAAAACAACAACATCAACAATAAAACCAAAATTGCTGCAGTACATGAGCTGAGTGGACAAAAGACTCTGGAAACGAACGTGAAATTATAACCAGAGTACATTTTTTGTTTTTGGGAGATCAAAATTCAACATGATTTTTCCTTCAATTTCTCTTTGCATGTTAAGAGGAATTTTAATTTTACATTTCAATTTTAAAGGCAAAAAAATTAATTTTTCAAATGTTAAATGGTCTGTTAATTAAATTTTAAGAGTGTTTTCCTTTTTATTTCATTTCTCTTCTCTTTATGTTATTGCTGATCTCTGTTGAGTTTCCTTCAATCAATTGTCATTTACATTGTAATGTTATTGGGGGAGATTAACATATTTCTGGTTCCTCTTCCCAATTTCCATTGGCTCGTTCATGCCATACAGTCTGTTATCCCTTAACTCTTCTGGGGATTTAAAAGAGATTTACCAATGTTAATCCCCACACCATAGGGCTTAAGCAATGCTTAAGCCATGCTTCCGTACAGAGAGTGCGTGCACACACAGCCAGGCCACAGAGAGCCCTTCATTCATTTCACATTACCACACTGCGTTAAGCCTCTCTCTCTCACACTGTTAGTGAAAGAGTAATACACAGGCAGGGGTTAAAATCGAGCAATGGTGGTGGCTTAAGCCTTAAGCCTACCACAAATGTGTGCGTGTGTGTGTGGACTGTGACAGAGAGAGTGAATGTGAGAAGAGTAGCCAACTGTGTGTGTGTGGTGAGTGTAGGCCTGTTTGGCTGCTTTGTGTAAAGGAAAGAGATGTGCTTATGTGTTATTGGTTGAGTTAGAAGGGTAAAGCTGTATTTTGTTGTTGTGTGTGGTGTGTTTTTTGAGGAATTACCTGAGAGAGCGAGAGTGTGGCTTGCTGCTTATCTTACGAGGCGCTTATACTTGTCGGTATATAATCTAATGAAAGAACACTTGGTCAAATTGTACTTCAACAGCAATGAAAAGAGCAACATATCAGCTCTTAGAATTTTAAGAAAAAAATAAAAAAATATTTTTATTTACAAATTAAAAAAAGAAAAAAATATTTTTTTGGAATAATTAAAAAAAGAAAATTAGAAAAAACAAACAATTTTGAAAAAAGAGAAAATAAGAAAAACAAAACAATTAAAAATTGAAACAAAGAAAAATAAAAACTCCAAAAAAATTGTGCAGTGAATTGAATTAAAAAAATACAGTGATATAAAAAAAGTGTTCTCAAAAACCCAGCCATTCAAGCCACCTCAATTTTTGGATAATTTTTTCTCCGCCCAAAGGATTTACACACACACAACACATCAAGGTAAGTTTTCGTGAAAAAAAAAGAAAAAAATCAAAACAACAACAAAAAATACAATTTCCTCCTTTGTTGGATTATTGGATTAAAACTTCCGGCGGCAAATCATGGATTAAAAACAAATTTAGTTTTTTATAAAAATCAAACCAACACACACACACACATTCATACCTACATTACATTCCATTACATCACCAGTAATTGTTGACCGACCTTTTTAAAAAGTCATTTTCGGCCCAATAAAAATTCTGGGAATTTTTCCATGCCAATTGCACAAATGTTCAATTTTTTATGACTTAATTTTTTTGCTACACAGTCAAGGTTTCTTCGGTGAAAAATTCTTGAAATTTTCAAAAATTTTTCTTAGTTTTTTAACTACCTGCCCATCCTCTTGAAGGGTCATAAAACTCTCAGTGTTTTAGGGTTGCATAATCCGCACAGCTTTAGTTTTTTGTTGACACACATTTGCACACCCACACACACACACACATCAACTAAATCCCCCATCATAAAAACTTAAATCTGCCAGGCTTAAGGGTATTAGATTTTTTACTATATATACGAAATTTTTTTAAATCTCAACACACACTTGCCTTAATCCGCTCAAAGGGTAAACATCGTGGTTTACTTCTAAGTAACTATTTTTCTAAATTAACACAATGGTTTTTGAAATGGTATTAAGAACAAATATTCCATTTTTTTAAATCGACATTTTTACTAATTCAAATTTTTTTATTATTTTTTTTCTTACAGATGAATCAAACGTGCAAAGTCTGTGGTGAACCCGCTGCCGGCTTCCATTTCGGTGCTTTCACATGCGAGGGCTGCAAGTCCTTCTTTGGCCGCTCATACAACAATTTGTCTTCGATCTCCGAATGCAAAAACAATGGCAAATGCGTAATTGACAAGAAAAACCGCACAACCTGCAAGGCCTGCCGTTTGCGTAAATGTTACACCGTTGGCATGTCCAAGGGTGGCTCACGCTATGGCCGTCGCTCAAACTGGTTCAAAATCCATTGTTTGCTACAGGAACAACAACAACAGGCCGTAGAGGCTGCCACCAAAGCTGCTGCCGTCAATGGTGGTTCAGTGGTGCCTCCAAATCCTGCCGCTGCTGCTCCCTCCCCATTCGGTGATATGGCTGCTGCTGCCGCCGCCGCTGCTGCCCAACAACAGTTCAATGCCCAACGCTCCTCACATTTGGCTGCTGCCGCTGCTGCTGGTGCCGGCCACTTGGGCTATCCCTCATATTTGCCTGAGATGTCTGCTGCCCCCTTCATGTCTGCTGCTGCCTTGCCCTTCTTCAGCATGATGAACACAATGCCACCCATGGGTGCTGCTGCCTCACCTGCCTCAGCCTTCCAAATGCCACCTCATCTATTGTTCCCTGGCTATCATCCAGCTGCTGCCGCCGCAGCCGATGCTGCCTATCGTTCGGAAATGTACAAACATCGTCAATCTGTTGACTCGGCTGGCTCAGCTGAATCGATTTCGCGATTCTCACCCACCAATCACTCCGTGCACTCGCTTACCCACGAAGAACCCCAGCAACAACACTCAGCCCGGCAATCACCTGAATTGTGTGTCTCCGGCGATGATGATATGGTGATGCATCACTCTCACTCCCACTCCGTTTCCCCCGTGTCCACACACTCCTTGCAACATCAGGTGCACAGCCCAATTGCTGTCCGCCCCTCACCAGTACAACAGGTCGGCACTCCCGAACCCCAGGCTGTTAACTTTGCTGCCAAAATGGAATCTCTCTCCCCAGTGTCCGTGTGCTCGATTGGCTATGAAACCAGCACCACCACCACAACCAACACCCCCAATTCCTATGAAGAACCCATGAATCAAGATGGTCCCATGGATTTGAGCATGAAAACATCCCGCAGCTCAGTGAACAGTGATAGTGATATGCACAGTGAAGCCAGCGAAGAGGAAAGGCAGCAGAATATGCGCCGCAAATTCTATCAGTTGAATGAGGCTGACAACTCGGAAAACTCTTCCGATTCGGAGGCATCGAAAAGGCAAAAATTGGCCGAAAACAATTATCGTTTTGGGCCCCACAGCCACAGTCAAAGAGGTATTGTATGTGTTTAAGCAACAAAAAACAACAACAAAAATATTTATTTATAACAACAACAAGAACATACCAATATCACCTCTCACACACACTCACAACCAACCAAGTTTTATAGTCAATGCAAACAATTTTTTTTAGTTAATAATTTTTACCCACCTTTTTTAAAAACAAAACCTTCAATTGTAAATATTCGCATTGTGCCCACTGTCCCTGTGACAGTCTGCCTTTGCACCTGAAATTGAAAAAAGGAAAAATTCCAAAAATTAATTTTTAAGTTGATTAGTGAATTTTTTAAAAACCATTTTTATTTTTACACACATTTTTGAGTTACACTTGAATTGTTTATACCAAAATTGAATTGAATATTGTACATATGAAAACCTTGAATTGAATTATACATATATATTATTGCATGCTTTTTTATTAGTTTGTAAGATTTTTTATTATTATTTTTTATTTTTATTAGTTTTTAAGAAAAAACACAAACACGTTGACCGGCCTTTGGCTTGAAAAATTGTACATACATAAAAAATGAATTGCAACAATTGTATTATTACCATTTACAAAATATTATTATTATTATTATTTTTATTTTTTACACCCATTTATCTTTTGACAATTAATTGTATATATTTATTGCAAAAAATACCAATGAATTGTAGTATATATTTTTTGAATGATGATGATTTTTTTTATTATATAAAAAAAAAACAAAGAAAACTATTTTTATTATTTGAAAAAAAAAAGAAAACACAAAAAAAGAAAATATATGAAAAAAATTTTAAAATGAAATTTTAAATATGTGACTTTTTATTTTACTAAATTTTGGGGGATGGGGAAAAATAAAAAAATAAATAAATAAAATAATAAAAAATAACAAAAGATATTCAAATTAAAAACAAATTAATTACAAAAAAAAAAATAAAAATTAAAAACATTTTGACTCAAAAATAATTAAACACAATACATACAAAAAATATAAATAAAAAAATTTAAAAAAAAAAAATAAAAAATAATTCAATAAAATAAAAAAAAAACAATGATATATACTAACAAAAAGTAATAAATATATAGACTAAATTTATAACATAAAATAAAAAAACAAATAAACAAACTAAAAAATACTAACAAAAATAATAATGAATAAATTAAATAAAAGTTTAAAACTACAAATATAAAAAAAATCTATAAAACAAAAATAGTGTATAAAAATAAAAAATATAAAAACAAAAATTAAAAAAAAAATCTAACTGAAAAAATAATTAATCAGTAAAAAATATAAATACATTTTAAATATGAAATAATTCTATATAAAAATAATAATATAAAAACTAAAAACAGAACTCTAAAAAAAATAATTAACCGCTACAATAAAAAATCTAAAATAAAAAACTGTAATAAAATGCTTTAATAAAAATTATAACTATATGTGGGATAAATTTATAATATAAAATTAAAAAAAATAATAAATAAAACAGTGATCGGTTCAGTATTGGCGGACGGGGCCGACCATACCCTACACAACTACCACGGAACTATAACTTTCTGCGGATGTTTATTCCGAGCCTGGACAATATACACCCTCTTTCCCGATTACAGGTCAACAGTACCACTTCTTTCCACTGACATAAATTCCGAATATTACTAATATTCAGTACAGCCCTTCTAATTACTTGTTCAGATTCGGCTTATAATTGTGGCCTATTTTTTGTACTTTTTAAGTTTTCGGTCCAATTTATCCCAAAACCAGTGAGTGTAGCAGTATAGTCGGAGGGGGGCGACCATATGATACCCTACCACAACTACCACAAAACTCAAACTATCTGCGGATGTTTATTTTGAGTCTGGGCAATATTTCGTGATATTTGTACCCTCTTGACCGATTAGAGGTCAACAATACCTCTTCTTTACACTGACATATTTTTCGAAATATTACCAATATTCAGTACAGCCCTTCTAATTAATTGTTCATATTCCCTTCGCCGTGAGTTGTGTTGTGATGTTCGGCTTATAATTGTAGCCTGCAGATTGAATAAAAAAAAAAAAAAAAATAAGTTTTCCGCCCACTTCATCCCAATATTATAATCTGATCACCAACGAAAATTATAGGCATTGTCATTGACCATAATTGGAACTTCATGGAACATTTTAAAGCGATCAGCGCTATATTTCCCACTTCTAGTGTGGTAATAGGTTACTAAATAATATCTGAATACGTAAGCACATGAACATATTTAAGTGTAACTTCTACATCCGAGTACATACGGCAATATAATTGGTATCAATTTAAAGGGCAACTACTCTTCTTGGATTTGCTATCATCTTCTCGGGTCTTTGTCATTCAGGGGTAAATATATACGCTATAGAATATAAATTCTGTAATTTTTCACAAAAGAAGTCAGGGTCCATTTGACCCGCTACATATTGACCGATGTTAATCAAAAACCAGTAAGGAAAGTAGTAAAGTCGGACGGGGCCGACTATATGATACCCTTCACCACTATGGATATATTAAACAGGACTATTAACATGAAATTGGATGAAATAAAATATGTGATATATATCTAAATGTGAATCTACCTATATATCCATAAGTTATAAAAATCGACTTCAATCAAATATAAATTGGTTATCTGTTGGGCTATGTCTGTACTTCTAGAAAACGCAACTATGTAATTCTATGCTCAATTTTGTACGTTGTGCAAAATTTGATGTCAACCTGACTAGCATGAAGAGTTTGATGTCCAATTTACTTAAAATCGGGCGAAAATATATATGGAAGCTTATCCAAATATATCGAAGGATATATAGGGACTTTGGTGCACCATTTACATGAAATCGGACGAAACTATATCTGAATCTGGGCCGATTTTCTCGAAACTGGGCAGACATCATTCTAGGCTCAATTCAGTACGTTATGCCAAATTTCCTGCAAATCGAAAGATATATAAGGACTTTGGTACACCATTTACCTTAAATCGGAGGAAGATATATACGGGAGCTATATCTAAATCTGAACCGATTTTCACGAAACTTTGCACACATCATTCTAGACTTAATTCAGTGCGCTATGCCAAATTTCGTGCAAATCGAAAGATATATAGGGACTTTGGTTTTTACCAAAAATCGGCCGAAACTATATATGGGAGCTATATCTAAATCTGAACCGATTTTCACGAAACTTGGCACACATCTTTCGTGGCTCAATTCAGTACGCTATGCCAAATTTCGTGCAAATCGAAAGATTTTCAGGGTCTAAAGTCCGTAAATCGGGCAAAAATATATATGGGAGCTATATCTAAATCTGAACCCAATTTCAATAGGGTTCGAGGCAACATTTGTGTTGCTCTGAGGACCTGTGTTCGAGCACTAGCTCGTTATCAACGTACGACATTTGTAAAGCCACATAGCCCAATATGCCTGATGAGCCGCTTAACCAACGGCGAAACGCGTCGCATAATGGTGGGTACGTAGGTTCTTCTCCTGGCTTTCCTTTTCATTGCAAAACTTAGATCATCAAGCTCGACTCGAAAGAGTATAAACAACCACTTAAAATTACTTTCAAATAATCACTGCCCTTACAAGGCAAAATTCAAATACCAAAAAAAAAAAAATATATGTATATATTGTTTAACAGCAATCATCTTAGACTTTGCCCAGTTTCATTTCCTATGTAAAAGATCGTGATTTTCGGATAGTACATAAGGCCTATATGGCGATTAAAAAACCAGTGAGCAGGTCAATATAGTCGGGCGGTGCCAATAATTTAATACCTTACACAACTACCACAGAATTTAAAATTTTTTGCGGATCTAAATTCTGAACCTGGGCAATATTTCACCATACTTGCTCCCTCTTGATCGATTAGAAATCAACAGGTCCTCTTTCTTGCGATTGCATATTTTCGGAATAATGTTATTGCAATTTTACACAAATAGGTAGTATTGAGAGCTTAGCGTCTGAGCAATCAAGGCGACGTTTTCGGCATCTAGTGTAGTAATTGTGAGACTCAAAAATTAATATTTACTTATTACTCCCACATTCGAGTACATCACAGCAGCATAAATGGTATTCACTTAAATGTCAACCAATCCTCTTGAATATTCTGTTGGATATTTTCTGGTCTATATCTTTGGAAAATAAAAAAAATAAAAAGAAAATAAAAATATATTGTTGCCTGAAATCTTCGGAGAAATTCGAAAACGAACTAGAGAAGCTTGACATTTTTGACTTGAGATTTAAGGGTAATCCGCCGGCAGCCTTGATTAGGCACCCAATGAAATTTTCTATTTATTTGTACATATTAAGAAAGCAATGGGTGGTCAATGATTGTCATTGCCAGAAGATGCTGTGGAACTGTGCAGAAACTTTCTTTTCGGGTTTTTAGCAATCTGTTGGCGACAATTTATTCGAAAATTGGTTTGAGCACATGTACATGTGTAAAATAATTTCGGAAAAGACTTTGAATAACATAAAGTCATTTTGATGGTAAATATTCCTAATGTCATTCCCAAGACGCAAATTTGTCGTCCATGGCCAGTAATACACACCGTGATGATATGTCCATACCTCTGTCCAGTACTTTTATTACAAGTTTTAGTAGTCATAAGATTACACATCCCTACATAAAATCCCCTTTTCCAAATATGGCGTCCATTGGTGTATTTAGTTACAAATATCGTGACATATATGTCCATAATTGTGTAGGGTAAAGTGGTTTTCTACAAAATATTAAAACCTTTTAAATTTACTTAATAAAATTTGAGGTTAGGAAGGTCATATCATACAAAATATATATGCAAAAGAAAAAATATGGAGAGATTTTTTATAGAAAATATTATGAAAGTGAAATTTTTTCTGTGAAATTTAAGGTCTGAAGAATATTATGTATGTAAAATTTACCTCGCTTTTCTATAGAATTTTTTCCCAGTGAAAGTCTTTATCCTAGACAGTTTTTTAGGCACTATGAAAGCCTGTTTTGTTTAGAAAATATTCCTCAGTTGCTTATGGAAAATATTCCTAAGGCCTTCAGGAAGATTTAGTTTT